TTGAAGTCCACTCATCTTAAAGTGGCCAAGTTTGAAAAACACTGGACTACATGATCTCCAAAGCTCTTTAGTGGCCCTTATATTCTATGATTCAATGCTTTTTTGTAACCCAATGGCTTATGATATCTATTCCCAGTTTTATTTTTCTGTAAAACACCAGTAAAAACAATCACCCTGCCCAAACCGAACCATTTTGCCACTGAATTTGACAGCATGGTCTGGGGTTGATTGGAGGGCCACCAAACAAGGTTGTGAGCAGGTTGGTGGCCATGAAAGGCTACGGGTTACCTACTGGGGAGACCCAAGTTCAAGTCCACCCTCAGCCCTAAAGATCAGTCCCTTTCTTTCAGACCAGCCTACCTCACAGGGTGGTGGTTGGGGTGGAAGAAACAGAGGAGGCCATGCTATCTCTGCTGTTGTGTATTCCTGGAAGGAAGCCAAGATATAAATCTAATGAAGATATAGACTAAATAACGGTGCAGTTTTCTGATTTTGTTTTCCAAAAGTAACAGCCACTGCTAAAGTTTTCACGCTGGTCTTGTATCTTCACCACAGTATTTAAGGAACTTCATCATCGGGGGTCCCCCAGGGTATGCTCCTTACTGTGAAGAGAGGCTCAGAAGGACGTTTGTCAATGGGACCAGGACGCAGCCCCCAAGCTGGCTGGAGCTTCAGGTAGCCCTTTTGAAGGCGTGCGGTGGGCACGCTCACAAAATGGTGGGCACGGGCCGTTTGGAAATGACCATCGGCCAGACGACAGAACGCTAAGGTTCTTCCCTACCATCCCAAGGACGCCCTCAACCCCCACAACTAACTTTTGCCTTTTGGGGGAGTGGGTGGGTGCTCTTCCTATTCCCAGTCTTGGCAATAAAACAAAGCTGTGTTTGGGCTGGCCCTTTGCTCTGCCACAAGTCAGATCTCCACTTTTGTTTGGAACTAAAGAATCTTGGGGGGAAAAACCTAAAGTTGCATAGGGCAGGGAGCTCTAAACAACAACAACAAAAAAAGCAAAATTATGTTTGGTCCCCCCTAATGACATCAATATATCAGCAGACCCTGAAAAGCCAAAATAATACTGTTTAAACGAGAAAAATGCAGGTGAGTTCCTCATAAAAGAATGGAAAAATGCATGATTAACTATCCGCTTTGTGGGACCATGTCAAGGAAAGATTATAAACCCAGGAATTATAATAATCCAGGGATTATAACCCAGGGATTATAAATCCAGATTATAAACCCAGGGATTATAATAATCCAGGGATTATGACCCAGGGATTATAAATCCATATTATAAACCCAGGAATTATAATAATCCAGGGATTATAACCCAGGGATTATAAATCCAGATTATAAACCCAGGGATTATAATAATCCAGGGATTATGACCCAGGGATTATAAATCCATATTATAAACCCAGGAATTATAATAATCCAGGGATTATAACCCAGGGATTATAAATCCAGATTATAAACCCAGGGATTATAATAATCCAGGGATTATGACCCAGGGATTATAAATCCATATTATAAACCCAGGAATTATAATAATCCATGGATTATAACCCAGGGATTATAAATCCAGATTATAAACCCAGGGATTATAATAATCCAGGG